CCCCAAAACCCCAAAACCCCAAAACCCCAAAACCCCTTACAGTATATAATTATTGGAATATTATTTAATCCAAAAAGTGCAGAATGAGCAAGCCAAGCACGAAAAGTAAAACTGGAGCGGGCATGAAAATGGTCCACCAAGTTTCAAAATTTTTAAATAAAGCAAAAAGAGTAGCCCATTCTAACCCTGGTGCTATAAATGCACTTAGAGAGTCGATTGAGTTGAATGAGAAAATGCGTGAAGAAAGAAGAAAGAAAAAGAAACTTCAGAATCCTAATTTTAAGAGGAAAAATACATTCTCAGACTCTTCCCAGCAAGAAAAATCTGAAAGAAAGGAAGACTCTTCTTCCTCTTCAAGTAGTAGTTCTGGAAATAGTTCTGGTAGTGGGAGCTCTAGTTCAGGGAGCAGTAGGTCGTCCTCCCCTACTATCACTGAATCTAATATTCAGACTAAGAAGGTAGACAGAATTGACGATGAACTCAGATCAAAACATTCACAAATTCAAAGAATGACTGCAAGAAAGAAGGTTTCCTCCTCGCTTGACAAAGGGAGAGGAATTCAGTAAGTTGATGATACTATAATAGTTTACTCCAAAAATTTTTGAAATAAATCAAAACAGAAAGAACTTCTACAAGAATTGCCTACCGTCAGTCAATTTGATGGCAAAGAAGCCGACCAGAAGGAAACCAACGACAATACCCCTAAGGATAAACTTGATTTATTGTATAATAGCAGTTCTGCAGGGAACCAGTACGATGAAGAGCAAGAGGAACTTGTTTTACCAAGATTCATGATACATCCAAAATCACCAACAATGTTTAAGATAAAGATGCTACGGTTATTGACCAAGGCATACATTGCTATTATCATCCCTTTTAGAATCCCATTTGAAGAAAAACCCCACGTGTTCTGGTTTAGCTGAGACGTAATTCTTAATTTCATCCTCTTTATTGATATTTTGATCCATTTTTGAACAGCCTATGAGACCCAGAAAGGGAAGATTATTACATGCAGGAAATAAGATGGCAAAAAGATATCTCAAAGGACCCTTCTTTTTTCACTTCATGGCATGATTTCCATTCACAGGGATTCGGTATTTCAACTCTGGAGGAAGCCAAAATGATACTGCTAATTTCATTTACCTAGAATTCGAGCGTCTGCCTAGATTTTATCGAATGTGAAGAGCTGTCAAATTAATTCGCTTAATGGGTCTAGAGCAAAACTACCTTGATTTTATGGACAAATTAAAGGTCTCCTTAAACACAACCAAGATGATTGCTATTTTCATTAAGCTTTTCCTGCTCTTACATATCATTGCTTGTTGTTGGGCCACATCAGCTAATTTTGAACTCTACAGTAACACGAATTGGCTGGTTGCGAATGATGTTCAAAACAATGATATGTATAACAAGTATATCACCGCTTTTTATTGGGCAGTGGTCACCACAACCACAGTTGGCTATGGTGATATTGTCCCTGTCAACAAATTTGAGATAGGTCTAGCACTGGTAATTATAATCCTCGGAGTAGCCTATTATTCATATGTAATTGGGAATCTATCATTCTTATTTGCTTCAATTCTTGGAAATCAGAACGATATTGCTAGAAGAAAAGCTCAGATAAAGAAGTTCCTGAGTGTCCACGATCATCCAGAAGAAATTGTAGACTCAATCACAATTCAAGAGGAAGAAATCATCGAAATCATTGATATTCTTCCTGCTAATATGCAGCTTCAATTACTATTAGTGCTCTACAAGGAGCCTATCAAAGCGATCAAGCTGCTTCAAAATAAAGACCCCCATTTTATAATAGAGTATTTGCCTAAGCTCCAGCCGATGATTGTAAAGAGGGGTACTAAAATAATCTCCAAGAATACTTTTCCCTCAGACATTTTCTTTGTGTACAAAGGCTCTATCAAGAACATGAACAATGACAAAGTATTCAATGAAGGCTCAGTAATAGGTGAGACAGACATTGTCTATAACAGAGAGACTCGGGTCGAGTCCTTTGTTGCCAACAAGGAAAGCTACCTCCTCAGATTTGACAGATCCACTTATGAATCTCTCTGTGAAGACATTCCTGAATTCAAGAAACAAATAGAAGAAATTGCCCATGCTCGTGAGGAAGCTAGGGTTCATCAGCAATCCTCCTTCTTTATTGGTAACAGAGATGAATTCATCGAGAAAAAGCAAAGGATGAGACAACTTATCAGCAAGCTTGAAGGAGGCTCTCAATTGGAGGGAAAAGAGGAATCTAAAGATGCTTCAAACTCCGTATCTGATGAAGAGATGTCCAGTATCACTTCCTCATCTGAAGAGTTCAGTAATGACTCTGAAGAAGCTGAAGGCCCACAACCCAATATTTCTATGGATATTAGGCAAAGCCAGGACCGTATCCAAGACTTTAAGTCTAGTTTGCAAAGAAGTTTGAATCCTAACCAGAAGCAAAATCCTAAGAAATCAAAAGAGCCAGATATGTCAAACCCTTTGGATTCGGATCTAGAGGACTTTGAAGGTGGTGAAGAATACAGCCTCAGCTCGGTAAATATCAAAAAGAGGACTAAAAAGAAGAAAGCGAAGAAGAAAAGTATTCACAGTCAGATTGCCAAATGAGTCAGGTTATTAAAATAAGACCAAAGCAATTACAGACGAATATTCGGTTATTTTCAACAAGATATCATCAAATGCTCCTCAAAATCTTTCAATGCCAACTAAATGTAGGCTGAATGTGGAGAAGGAGGGGCTACAGTTACATAAGAATATCATTACAATGATAACAGAGGTGTTAGAAAGTAACAACTTGAAGCAGGTTGAGGATGTAATCTCTCACAATGTAAGCTTATTTCTAGCCACCAGCTCTTACGATAAATTTTGATATTAAATCCCCTTATTATAGCTAGTTGGTTCTCTTCCAAAACAAAAAGAGTACAACAAAATGATGGAAGAAGTAAAGACCAAGATCCATGAGCGCAATTTCAACAAGTTAGACCCAGTTCAAGAGATAGAGGATGAGGATTCCTCTGAATTTGAATCGAAGCCAGTAGAAGATCAAAGAGATGAAGGTGTTCTCTTCAACCAAAAATACCTGAAAAATACACATCCTTCCTTCATTAGTTTTAATAATCCTCAGTAAAGGGATTTATTTAGGGGTTTTGGGGTTTTGGGGTTTTGGGGTTTTGGGG